TATACAAATATACAAATATACAAATATACAAATATACAAATATACAAATATACAAATATACAAAAAGGGCACAGTTTTTTTGGATTTTATTTTTTATTAGGACCAATCTCTAAGTTGTAATCCTTAGTTATTAATATTAATTATCTTCTTCTTCCTCTACGTCATCTTCTTTGTTTTCATCTTTTAAATCTTCTGCAGGTAATTCTTCGTCTATTTTCTCATTAATTTCATCATCACGCTCAAAAGGGTAAAAGGGATGATCTCTAACGGTTTCATATTTTACAATTCGACTTTTCGGATTTACACCGCGTAAGGCCCTGGTATCTGCATCATCTAATTTAAAGTCAAAAATATTTAAGTTTTGTTTTATATGCACAGGATTTGCCGCTTTGGGAATTGGTACAACACCGTAGTCCACCTAAAATAAAAATATGTTAGCCATTGAAGATATTTAATTAAAAATTGTATACTACCAAATATCGCAGCACAATTTGGGCAGCGGATTTTTTATATTTCTTAGTCAATCGTTTCATACCTTCCGAAAAGAAATATATTGGACTATGATCTTCTCTATTTGGCTGACCAAGTGGTGAATGTGCTGTTACAATAATTCCATTATAGCGGCAATAATCAACTAGGTCCTTTTGCAAAAGCCAGGCCAGATTTCTACTTGGTTAACTACTGGCTTATATGAGCTACATTGTATAATCCGTTGAATCTGTTCCATATTAAAGTTTGACAAACCAATACTGCGAACTAGCCCGAGTTTAACAAGCTCTTCCATTGCATTCCAAGTATCTATATAATCAACGTCACTAGGAAAAAAATAAAAAATATTATAAACTAATTAGAAAAACGTCTGTAATAGTAGAATTTGCACTTAGTTACACGGCAGATGGCGCGGTCGTCTGTTATTTCCCTTATAAACCCTATTGGCTGACAAGAAAATTATATGAAACCGAAACTGCGCTCGAAAAATACGAGGCATTTTATGTCAATGGATAAAATAAGAAATCAATAATCTAATTTATTTAATTAAAAAACAACAAATAAAACTAATTTCGGCACACCGAAGATTGTATACCCTTGCAGATGGCAATTGGATCATTAAGAATCGAGCCATTCTGGTTTAATAATTAAACAAAAATAAAAGAAAATATATAAAATTTGTATATTTATAAATAGCATAAATATAATGCTAAAAACACACAACAGAGTTTCATAACATTTCACCTATGTTTATTGTGTTTACAGTTTGACAGTTACCGTTTTACATTTTCTCTACATTTACCGATCGCTTCTATGGCAGCTATATGATATATTTGTCAGATTTTCATAATATTTATACCAAAATTCTGAAATAATAACAAAAGCTCATATCTCAAAGTAGATGAAAATATGTTGAAAAACAACGAAGTTATAATTTGTTCTTTTAATATCCCGATCGTTCCTATGTATAAGGTATAGTCGTCTGATTTTCATAAAATTTTAAACAAAATTTTAAAATAATAACAAAAGTTCGTAAGTATAATCAAATAATACTATTGCAAATAAAGCATTCGAAAAAACCTAATCAACGTACAAGTGACATTTTTATACCCTTGCAGGGTATTATAATTTCAGTCAGAAGTTTGCAACGCAGTGAAGGAGACGTTTCCGACCCTATAAAGTATATATATTCTTGATCAGCATCAACAGCCGAGTCGATCTAGCCATGTCCGTCTGTCTGTCTGTCTGTTTCTACGCAAACTAGTCCCTCAGTTTTAAAGCTATCTGAATGAAACTTTGCATATAGTCTTCTATATGCTCTCACTGCTATATATGTCGGAACGGGCCGGATCGGACGACTATATCATATAGCTGCCATACAAATGTTCGAAAAATTTTAAGAAAAAAATTATAACTTGGCTGTTTTTCAATAATTTTGCATCATTTTTTGAGATATAGCCATTTTATATTATTCCAGAATTTTGGTAGAAATTTTATGAAAATCGGACGACTATATAATATAGCTGCCATAGGAACGATCGGGAAATTAATAGAAATATAATCATAGCTTCGTTGTTTTTCAACGCATTTTTATTTACTCTGAGATATACGTTTTTTTTATTATTCTAGAATTTTGGTATAAATTTCATAAAAATCGGACAACTATATCTTATAGCTGCCATAGAAGCGATCGGTAAATGTAGAGAAAATATAAAGCTGGGAATGTAAAACTGTAACTGTCAAACTGTAAACATAATAAGTATAGGTAAAATGTAATGAAACTCTGTTTTGTGAGTGTTTTCAGCATTTAAATCTATAAAATAAACATCAAAACCAATCTGCAAGGGTATACAAACTTCGGCGTGCCGAAGTTAGCTTCCTTTCTTGTTTATCTTTTAATTACCTTCTCAACAAGGTAAGTATTTGCAAATCGTTTTTTTATTGTTTATTTTATTGTTGTTAAAATTATTTACCCCGTCTTAATATAAATCCATTTATAGGCCCTTCTGGAAGAAACTCTTTCGATATGCGTTGTTTTCAACGATTAAAGCACAGAATACTAAATGTTAAATAGTGATTGATTTTGATTCGAATCACCAAAGACCCTTTTGACCCCAACTTTTTCCCCGTGAAATTAAGTTTTTTTTTGTTTAATATTAATGGGTTTTTTTTATTAATTTAACAAGTATTTGGTAAAAATTTCGAGTCGCCACACCCATAGGTTTGGGAGCTACCGGAAGTTGCTTGTGGGCAACTTTAGAACTTTGAAAATTACTCACCTGGTTATTAGTTAAGACAAATGAAATTAATTTTCAGCATAGTTAAGCATACATTTACTTAATTATTTTCAGTTTACACTTTTATATTTTACCTTTTTTTTATCAAAGTAAATTAACATCTTGGTTGCATCGTCTAAATTAGAAAACCCAGTTTTTGCTTAATGATCTTTAAAAGAGAATTTGCTTGATTCCATTCCAAAAATACTTATAAAAAAACTATAATAACTAAGTATAAGCCGACCTAACCAAAGATATTGATTACAGTTATTTGATAAACAGCAGAAATTTCCCAGAAGCAAGGCTGGGGTCGAAAGGGTTACATTGTGTGTTTAAAATTTTTTTCTGTCATCTGTTGTTAGATTTCTAAGAACTCCACTCCCAAATTTGTTTTTTTCTATTACTAAAATGGAGGGGGCGGAATTATGCCAAGCGTCTTCGTCCTTCTTGGATGATGTCGGTGGCCGTCGGAAAGTTGGGATGGAGTTGGGTGGCTGGCTGCAGAATCCCAATCGAGGTAGCTTCACTAGTATCACACTTTATTGGCTTCAGTTCTCGATTAAGACTAAACTTATCTACATGGAAAAGGGCTGCAGGCACCGCGGAGTGGTGAGTTCGCTGCTGGAGAGTAGCGAAAGAGAGGGAGACGGACAGAGCGGGCAGAGCGGAGGAAACAGTGAGCGGGAGCACAAGCTGGAGCGCAAGTGCTGGTCGCTTACACTGCTACTAACTTCCCAGTCGGACTTTTCGGGAGGACGCGAACAGGGGAGGATGAAATTCTTCTGCAAATGGGAGGGCTTTCTTCGAACGAAAATTCCCTTTGGGGATTTTTATTTTTAATGCGAGAGAGAGAGAGAGAGAGATAAAGGGATACATATATTTTTGCTCTTTACTTGAAACTGTATGTATTCGCGTTCCCGACTTTTGATTTGATTTGACTCAGTGGCGCAGTTGGTAAGCGGACGGTCTGTGATTTCTGAGACATGGGTTCAAACCCCGACCGGGATTTAAGAAAAGTAAGTTTATAAGTGGCTTTTAATAAGATTTATACATTCATTTAAGTAATTTAATAACCATTTAAACAAATAATAATTAACAAATAAAATAATAAAAAAGTTTTTTATTTTCTAAATTTTTATACTCTCTGGGGAGGAAAAAATTCTGGAATTTTGCAGAATTTCTTCCTGACCCGAGCAGCGACGGATTCTTCGTAAATCCAATTTTTTATACTCTCTTGGGAGGAAAAAATTCTGGAATTTTGCAGAATTTCTTCCTGACCCGAGCAGCGACGGATTCTTCGTAAATCCAATTTTTTATACTCTCTTGGGAGGAAAAAATTCTGGAATTTTGCAGAATTTCTTCCTGACCCGAGCAGCGACGGATTCTTCGTAAATCCAATTTTTTATACTCTCTTGGGAGGGGAAATTCCGTAAAAGATCAGATTTTTATACGCTCTGGGGAGGAAGAAGTTCTTTAAAAGGCCAGAATTTCTTCCTCACCCGAGCAGCGACGAAGGGAGACAAAATACACGAATTACCCCGGCCGCCCATGTATAAAAGCGAATTAGACTTTTACAGAAAAAGGTAGGACTCCCTCCCTCCCGTTTCTCGGAGAAAATAGTCCTCCTTTCCTAGGGAAAAGTCCGACTGGGTTCACGCTCTTCTGGCGTGAACATTCTCCACCTCCCCCCTTGCGCTAGCAAAAGGTACCAGGATCAGCTTTATTGTTCCAGAACTGCTCCGGAAACGGTCCATCCGAACACGGTGCTCTGAGCAACGTGCAAACCATCCTCGAGTTTAAGGAACCCCGGTTGGATCAGCTTCGCGAAAACATCTGAGCCCAACACGAGGGAGATGGTTGCCGGGCGGTGGAATTGCTCATCCGCTAGACGGATGTAGCCGAACTTAGCCCGTGTGGCGTCGCTCAGAGCCCGAATAGGAGTCCGGATCTTGAGGCTCGGGTCGAGCTTCAGGACGACCTCGAGCTTGAAGTTGCCTGTTTGGGATCGGAGAGTTGCCGAACAGACCTCGTCGTCTCCTAGACTGGTGAAGGGCAGCCGGAAAGCGGCCGCCAGCGATCGGTCGATGCTGCTCACCGCCATACAGGGGTCGATTATCGCCGCGGTGTCGAACGTAGAGGATCCAGTGTCCACCATGACGATGGCTGTCGGAAGGATGTGGACCGTCTTCTGACGAACCAACGTGGCCACCGACGTAGCCAGAGCGGAGACCTCCGGACGTGGACGCTCAATGGCGACCCGATTTAGCGACGAAGAGCGGCAGACGGACCCGGCGGAACGGCGGGAATGCGACCTGGCGGGTTGGCGCGACTTGCGCGACGGGTGTGGTGGTGACGACGGCAGCTCCTCGTGCATGTGTAGCAGGGTGTGGTGTTTCCCACCGCACTTCTTGCAGCCGCCTTCGCTGCGGCAGGTTCCCACGAAATGTTGGTGGGCGAGGCAATTTGAGCAGTATTTATTAATAAGTACTGCTCGGAGGCGCCTCTCGGCGCTCAGCTTTCGGAACCTCTTGCATTTCCGAAGAGGATGGATTCCTCGGCAGACTCTGCAGTGGTAGGATTGAATATCTCGGGAACGTCTGCTTTCCAAGGGCTGGGCGATGCGAGGACGAGGAGCCATTGTATGGAAAACGGGTCCTGCGATAAAAAGAATAGAAACGAAGTTTTCGAAGGGGTTGTACTAACCGTCGGACTTCGGAAACTGAGAAGCCCAAGTCCCTGGGAACGGAGGATTCTTGATCCTCCGCAGAGAGAAGTATGACCTTATGGACTGGGCTCTTAATCGTCCCACGAGCTGTGCGGATCTCCACAACTCGAATGAGGTCATCGGCTCCTGGGAAGACAGAACTAATTCTGCCGAGCCGCCATTCGTCCGATGGCAGATTAACCTCCTTGACGACTACCATGTCGCCGATTTGGAGGTTCTGAGTCGGATTTTGCCATTTGTACCGTTTGTGGAGTTCCTTCAGATACTCCTCTTTCCAATGAACACTAAACTGTTGATGTTGGGCCTTTAGATATTGCCATCGATTTAGTATCGACTTGGCTTCGCCGTAGAGAGCAACGGTCCTTCAACAATAAAATGGCCTGGGGTGAGGGCCAGCAAGTCGGAGGGATCTTCGGACATAGGGGAGAGGGGTCTTGAGTTGAGGCAAGCCTCAATCTTTGCGAGGAGCGTCGCAAATTCCTCAAAAGTGTACTTGCG